AAAAAATTTCTTGAAACAAATGAAAATCAAAACATAACATTCCAAAGTCTAAGGGATACCGGAAAAGCAGTGCTGAGAGGGAAGTTTATAGAAATAAGTGCCTACATCAAAAAAGTAGAAAGATTTAAAGTAAACAATCTAACAATGCACTTCAAGGAGCTAGAAAAGCAAGATCAAACCAAGACCAAAATTAGTAGAAGGAAAGAAATAATAAACATCAGAGCAGAACTAACTGATATTGACACTAGAAAGAAATACAAAGCATCAGTTGGGTGAGGTGGCTCACGCCTGTAATCCCAGCACTTTTTGGGAGGCTGAGGTGGGCAGATCATGAGATCAAGAGATCGAGACCATCCTGGTCAACAGAGTAAAACCCTGTCTCTATTAAATATATAAAAATTAGCTGGGCGCAGTGGTAGGTGCCTGTAGTTCCAGCTACTCAGGAGGCTGAGGCAGGAGAATCACTTGAACCCAGGAGGCAGAGGTTGCAGCGAGCCAAGATTGTGCCACTGCACTCCAACCTGGTGACAGAGCAAGACTCCATCTCAAAAAATAAATAAATCAATCAACAAAACGAAGAATTGGCTTTTTGAAAAGATAAAATTGATAAACCACTTGCTAGACTAACCCAGAAAAAAGACCCAAATAAACAAAATCAGAAATGAAAAAGGAGACATTATAACTGACACTCAGAAATGCACCAGATCATCAGGTACTATTATGAACAACTATGAACCAACAAACTGAAAAATCTAGAGCAAATGGAAAAATTCAGTATATATAATCTACCAAGATCGAATGGGGAAAAGACAGAAAACCTGAACAGCCCATTAACAAGTAATAACATCAAAGAAGTAATAAAAGTCTCCCAACAAAGAAAAGTCCAGGACTAAATGGCTTCACTACTATATTCTACCAAACTTTCAAAGAACTAACAGCAATTGTCCACAAACTTTTCCAAAAAAACTGAGGAGGAGGGGATTCTCCCTAACTCATTCTATGAGGCCAGCATTACCCAGTTGCCAAAACCAGACAAGGATAAAACAAAAAAGAACACTATAGACCAATATACATTATGAGCATAGATATAAAAATCCTCAAAAATACTAAAGCAGTAAAGGCTGCAAGACAAACCTCTCAAACACCAAACTGGAAAGGAGGGGGTGATTTATTCAGCTGGGAGCAGTGGCAACACAGTTGCCTAACAGCCAAGCTCCCTGCCCTTTTAAAGGATTACAACTCTAGAAATGACATGTGAATGGGTCTTGGGTTTACAAATCTATGTGAAAGGATCTTGGGCTTACAACTCTAGAAATTACCTGTGAATGGGTATTGATCCATGAAGTAGGCATGGAGTATGTGACTTAGGTGGGGGTTTGATCCTGTTTAAGTAAAAACATGCCTTTGGAAAGAATCCTCCGTACCATATCTGTGATCTATAGATGGGATTGTGGTTAGCAGTCAGGGTCTTATCCTTAACTGGGGTGGGGGCGCCAAACAGTTCCTCTTGTAGCTAACTTCTAACTTCTCCTTCAGAGATGCAATGTAGAAGGCTGAAGGTGATTAAGGGTCTCCTTCCTCAATACCAGCAAATCAAATCCAACGGCATATCACAAAGATAATACATCATGATTTCATCCCAGGGATGCAAGGATGGTTCGACATATACAAATCAGTAAACAGCATACATCACATTCACAGAATGAAGGATCAAAACCATATGATCTTTCAACATGCAGAAAAAGTGTTTCATAAAACTTAACATCCTTTCATGATAAAAACTCTCAACAAACTAGGCAGAGAAGGCATACCTCACTATAATGTAGGACATATATGACAAACCCACAGCTAACAGCATACTAAATGGGGAAAAGCTGAAAGCCTTTCCTCTAAGAACTAGAACAAGACAAAGATTGCCACTTTCACCACTCTTATTCAACATAATATTGGAAATCCTAGCCAGAGCAATTAGGCAAGAGAAAGAAATATATGGCATCAAAATTGGAAAAGAGGAAGTCAAACTGTCCCTTTTTGCTAATGATATGATCTATGATCTTATAGCTAGAAAAACCTAAAGCCTCCCCCAAAAAACTCTTTATTGAGAAAAGAATTCAGTAAAATTACAGGATACAAAATTAACATACAAAAATCAGTAGTGTTATTAATAATAGACTAGCAAAAAGAGAAATAAGAAAGGTAATTCCATTTACAACAGTGACAAAAATATATACCTAGGAGTAATTTAACCAAGGAGGTGAAAGATCTCTACAAGGAAAACTACAAAGTACTGATCAAAGAAATGGAAGCAGACACAAACAAATGGAAAGACATCCCATGCTCATGATTGGAAGAATTAGTATCATTAAAATGACTATATTTTGGCTGGGCGCGGTGGTTCACACCTGTAATCCCAGCACTTTGGGAGGCCAAGGCAGGTGTATCACGAGGTCAGGAGTTCAAGACCAGCCTGGCCAAGATGTTGAAACCCCATCTCTACTAAAAAAAAAATACAAAAATTAGCTGGGTGGAGTAGCACGCGCCTGTAATCCCAGCTACTCAGGAGGCTGAGGCAAGAGAATCGCTTGAACCTGGGAGCCAGAGTTTGCAGTGAGCCAAGATCATGCCATTGCACTCCAACCTGGGTGACAGAGTGAGACTCCATCTCAAAAAAAAAAAAAAAAAAGACTATATTGTTTAAAACAAAATCTACAAATGCAATTCAATCTTATTAAAATATCAACATTGGCCAGACGTGGTGGCTCACACCTGTAATCCAAGCACTTTGGAGGCCCAGGTGGGCGGATCACCTGAGGTCGGGAGTTCAAGACCAGCCTGACCAACATGGTGAAATCCCGTCTTTAAAATAAATAAATAAATAAAATATCAACATTATTTTTCACAGAATTAGACAAAGCAATTCTAAAATTTGCATAGAACTAGGAAAAAATCCTGGATAGCCAAAGCAATTATGAGCAAAAAGAACAAAGCTAGAGGCAGATTTATTAAACAAAACAGCATGGTACTGGTATAAAAACAAACAGACCAATGCAACAGAATAGGGAATCCAGAAATAAATTCACATGTTTACAGATAACTGATTTTCAACAAAGGTACCAAGGACGCATTGGGGAAAGGTCAGTCTCTTCAACAAATTGTGCTAGTAAAATTGGAAACTCATATGCAGAGGAATGAAACTGGACCCCTATCTCTCACCATACAGAAAAATCAACTTAAAATATAGACTTAAAGATAATAACTGAAGCTATTAAAATACTAGAAAAAATATAGGGAAAACAGTTCAGGACACTGGTCCAGGTAAAGATTTCATGGCTAATACCTCAAAAGCACAGACAACAAAAAGAAAAATAGACAAATGGGACTATATTAAACTAAAGCGCCTGCACAGCAAAGAAAACAGAGTGAAGAAATACGCTTTTATAGGGAAAAATATTTGCAAACTATTCATTTGACAAGGGACTAATATCCAAAATACACAAGGAACTCAAATAACAACCAATCCTATTAAAAAGTCAGCAAAAGACATGAAAAGCCATTCTCAAAAGAAGACATACAAAATGCCAATAGGTATATGAAAAAATGTTCAACATCACTAAATATCAGGGAAATGCAAATGAAAGCCACAATGAAACATCATCTTGCCCCAGTTAGAATGGCTATTACTAAAAAGACAAAAAATAAGAGATGATGGTGAGAATTCAGAGAAAAGGGAACTCTCATACACAGTGAGAATAAACACCCACTGTGGAAAACAGTATAGAAACTTCTCAAAAAAAGAAAACTAGAACTACCATATGATCCAGCAATCCCAGTGCTGGGCATTTATCCTTAGGAAAAGAAGTCAGTACACCAAAGAATTATCTGCACTCACGTGTTTATGGCAGCATTATTAATCACACCAAAGATATGGAATCAACCAAAATGTCCATCAACGGGTGAATGGATAAAGGAAATGTGGTATACATAGTGGAATACCATTCAGCCATAAAAAGAGAATGAAATCATGACATTTCATATTTTAGAGATTCTATTTCTAAAAAATGAAAACAAGAAAACTTGAATGAGTGGGAGAAGAGGGGGATAGAGATTTGGTAAATGAGTACAAACATACAGTTAGATAGAAGAAATAAATTCTTATGTTCAATAGCAGAGTAGGGTGACTATAGCTAGTAAAAATGTATTGCATAGTTCAAAGTAGCCAGAAAAGAGGACTTAAAATGTTCCCTTCACAGAAAAACAATTAATGCTCATTAGGATGAATACCCTAGATACCCTGACTTGATTATTATGCAGTCTATGCATGTAACAAATACTCACATGTACCTCATAAATATATAAAATATATTATGTATCAATAAGAACCATAAAGTGAACATGGCTGATGAAAGCTCCTTTATTTTCTTTAAGAGACAAGGTTTCACTCTGTCACCCAGCAGTGGTATGATCATAAGTCATGCGTTGTTGACCTCCTGTGTTCAAGTGATCCTTCCACCTCAGCCTCCCAAGTAGCTGGGATTACAGATGTGCATCACCACACTTGGCTAATTAAAAAATATTTTTGCCGGGCGTGGTGGCTCACACCAATAATCCCAGCACTTTGGGAGGCCGAGGCGGGTAGATCACAAGGTCAAGAGATCGAGACCATCCTGGTCAACAAGGTGAAACCCCATCTCTACTAAAAATACAAAAATTAGCTGGGCATGGTGGCGCACGCCTGTAGTCCCAGATACTCAGGAGGCTGAGGCAGGAGAATTGCTTGAACCCAGAAGGCGGAGGTAGCGGTGAGCTGAGATCATGCCATTGCACTCCAGCCTGGGTAACAAGAGCGAAACACTGTCTCAAAAAAAAAAAAAAATTTTTTTAGCAGAGATGAGGCCTCTCCATGTTGCCCAGGCTGGTCTCAAACTCCTGGGCTCAAGCAATCCGCCTGCCTCAGTCTGTTGATGTGCTGAGATGACAGGCATGAGCCACCAGGCCCACCCTAAATTTTAATAACATACAAATATTCTGCCTTTATACATCTCTGTACTCTCTTTATATTGTTATTGTCACACATTGCATCTTTATAAATTGTGTGCCCATTAACATAAATTTATAAATATTCATACATTTTCCTTTAAAATCAAACAGGAAAAAATAGATACAAACCAAAAGTAAAATAATATTGATTTTTATATTTACCTAGGTAGTTACCTTTACCAGTGTTCCTTATTTCTTCACATGAATTTGGATTACTGTCTAGTGTTCTTTTATTTTAGCTCAAAACATTCTCTTTAACGTTTCTTATAGGGCAGGTTTATTAGTAACAAACTTTCTTAGTTTTTACCTTGAAATGTCTTAATTTCGACTTCACTCTTAAAGGATAGGTTTGCTGGATATGGAATTCTTGTTTGGCAGGTTTTTTTTTTCTTTTAGCACTTTACATGTCATCCTGCTGCTTTCTAGACTCTGATTTCTGACAAGAAATCAGCTGTTAATCTTATTGAGAATATTGTATATGATAAATTGTTTTTCCCTTGCTGCTTTCACGATTCTCTTTCTGTTGGACTTTTGATAGTTCAACTACACTATATTTCACGCATCTCTATGAGTTTATTCTACTTGGAGTTTACTGAGCTCCTTGGATGTGTAGATTCTTGTAGTTCATCAAATTTGGAAAGCATCTGGCTATTATTTCTTCAAATATTCTTTATGTGCCTTCTTTTCTTTTTTTAATTCCACAACCCCCATAATGAATTGTTGGTCCGTGATGGTCTCCTATAGGAGACCCTTTGGCTCTTTTCACTTTTCTTCATTTTTTTCCTTTTTGTTCCTCAGACTGGATAATTTTAATTGTCCAATATTCAATTTTACTAGTTTTTTTCTTCTGCCTGTTCTGTTCTTGAATCCCCTTGATGAATTTTTCATTTTAGTTATCATACATTTCGGTTTCAGAATTTCACTGGGTTCTTTTTAGATAATTTCTGTATATTGATATTTTCTTTTTTTCATATATAGTTTTCCTGGTTTCCCTTAATTGTTTGTCTATGATTTTCTTTAATTCTGCAAACATATTAAGATAGTTACTTCAGGCCAGGCGCAGTAACTCACGCCTGTAATCTCAACACTTTGGGAGGCCGAGGTGGGTGGATCACGAAATCAGGAGTTCGAGACCAGCCTGGCCAACATGGTGAAACCCTACCTCTACTAAAAATACATAAAAAAATTAGTTAGGTGTGGTGTTGAGCGCCTGTAATTCCAGCTCCTCAGGAGGCTGACGCAGGAGAATTGCTTGAACTCAGGTGACAGAGGTTATGGTGAGCCAAGATCTTGCCACTGCACTCCAACTTGGGCGAGAGAGTAACACTCTGTCTCAAAAAAAAAAAAAAAATAGTTATCTTAAAGTCTTTGTCTAGTAAGTCTGATGTCTGAGCTGCCTCAGTGAAGGTTTCTGTCAATTTATTTTTCTCATTGCTTTCCTATTTCTTGGTATGCTTTGTGATTTTTTTGTTGGTTGAAAACTGGACATTTGAATATTATAATGTGTTATCTCTGGAAAATAAATTATTTACCTTCCCTAGAGTTTGCTGTTCTTGATTGTTGAAGGGTTAACTTTTGTACAGCCAGGGTTTTTACTGAAATTTCCCTCAACACTGGGAACTTAAAAAACAAAAAACAAAAACAAAAAACTTTATCCAATCTTTGAGATCTGGCTCTTTGCAGGAGCACCCTTAAACACTTACTAAAGCCATTTGAAAATCTTCCTCTGCTTTCATTTCCTGGTTGCCCTGAGTCTATGTATCAGTCAGTGGTGGAATCTTAGGCTGTTCTCAGTTTTCTGAAAGAGCATCCTGTCCCATATATGTGTGTTGCTTTCTAAGTTGCCCTATATAGAGAGCACTTTTGAATTTCAATGCCCTAATTTCCCAACACTTATTTCTGCCTGGCTTTTACTCCCAGGCTTTAAGGGGGCTATTCTAGATACCAACTGTACTCTTCGGCTCCAAGCAGTTGCAGTTTGTTTGTTTGCCTTACAGTGTTTAAACAATGCCTGCTGTTTTTCTACAGTGGGTTACAGTGGGAAAACAGAGATGAGCGCTTTGCGTCAGTTTTTCAGGTAACACTCAGACACGTTAGAATAGATATGCATAATAGGCCAGGCATAGTGGCTCACGCCTGTAATCCTAGCACTTTGGGAGGCTGAGGTGGGTGGATCACCTGAGGTCAGGAGTTCCACACCAGCCTGGCCATCATGGTGAAACCCCGTCTTTAAAAAAAAAAAAAGAATATACATAATAGATGTATTCTAAAAAAAAAAAAATAGATATACATAATAATTGTGTATAAAGTTGGCTCTGCTCTCAAACAGGGACCAAGGTCCCACCCTGGGAAGGTGGCCTGCTGTCTCTAAGACTGCCATTGAGTCAGGGAAGGGTTCATAAAGTTTTCTTTCCATTTTCAAGTTGCCTTAAAAAAACTGGCCAGGCATGGTGGTTCACCTTATAATCCCAGCCCTTTGGGAAGGCTAAGGTGGGAGGATCACTTGAGCCCAGGAATTCAACACCAGCCTTAGCAACATAATGAAACCCTGTCTCTAAAAAAATTTTTTTTAAGTAATAAATATATTTTTTTAAATAAGCATTTGCTTGGTTGTTGTAAATCTTTGTTTCTCAAAGTTCTGATAAAGTTTCTCTGACAATTTCTGGTTGTTTGTTCAATATTTCTACAGAGGTGTGGAAGTTTGTAGCTGCCTACTTCTCCATTTTGCTGGTATCCCTCTCTCCACAAATTCTGATATATTGCATCTTCATTATTCACACACATACACATACACACACACACACATACACATACACACACATCTAAAAAAAATAACATAATTATAGAGACAGAGAACAGTCTAGTAGTTCTCTGGAAATTAGGGATTGGTAGATAGGATGGATGTTACTGATGTCAATGTGTTAATATATGCAGTATATGTATGTATATGCATGTATGTACACACAGACGCCAACATATATGCATGTATGTACATACACCAACGTATATACATGTATGTACATACAGCCACAAACGTATATACACACACACATACACATACACACACATGTCTTAAAAAATAACATAATTATAGAGACAGAGAACAGTCTAGTAGTTCTCTGGAAATTAGGGATGGGTAGATAGGATGGATGTTACTGATGTCAATGTGTTAACACATGCAGTATATGTATGTATATGCATGTATGTACACACAGACGCCAACATGTATGCATGTATGTACATACACCAACGTATATACATGTATGTACATACAGACACAAACGTATATACACACAAACATATACACATATGTATACTTTTCCTATATATATGCATGCAGATGTTTCTCAGCTTAAGATGGGATTACATTCAGACAAACCCATCATAAATTAAACTATCTCAAATTGAAAATGTATTTAATCCACCTAACCTACCAAACATCATAGCCTAGGCTAGCCTACTTTAAATGTTCTCAGAACGGCCGGGCGCGGTGGCTCAAGCCTGTAATCCCAGCACTTTGGGAGGCCGAGGCGGGTGGATCACAAGGTCGAGAGACCGAGACCAACCTGGTCAACATGGTGAAACCCCGTCTCTACTAAAAATACAAAAAATTAGCTGGGCATGGTGGCGCGTGCCTGTAATCCCAGCTACTCAGGAGGCTGAGGCAGGAGAATTGCCTGAACCCAGGAGGCAGAGGTTGCAGTGAGCCAAGATCCCGCCATTGCACTCCAGCCTGGGTAACAAGAGCGAAACTCCGTCTCAAAAAAAAAAAAAATGTTCTCAGAACACTTACAATTGGGCAAAATTGCCTAACACGAAGCCTATTTTATCATAAAGTGTTGAATATCTTATGTATTAATGATTTTTTTTTTGAGATGGAGTCTCGCACTGTCGCCCAGGCTATAGTGCAGTGGCGCGATCTCAGCTCACTGCAATCTCTGCCTCCTGGGTTCAAGAGATTCTCCTGCCTCAGCCTCCGGAGTAGCTAGGACTGCAGGCATGTGCCACCGCACCCAGCTAATTTTTTTGTATTTTTAGTAGAGACCGAGTTTCACCATGTCTTGAATGGTCTTGATCTCCTGACCTTGTGATCCGTCCACTTCCGCCTCCCAAAGTGCTGGGATTACAGGCGTAAGTCACCACGCCCGGCTGCATTAATAATTTTTATTGGATACTTTTTAAAAGTGAAAACAGAATGGTTGTATAGGTTCTTGAAGCATGGTTTCTACTGAATGTGTATTGCTTGTTTTGTTTGTTTGTTTTGTGAGATGGCATCTCACTCTGTTGCCCAGGCTGGAGTGCGGTGGGACAATCTTGGCTCAGTGCAACCTCCACCTTCTGGATTCAAGCAATTCTCCCGCCTCAGCCTCCCCAGTAGCTGGGATTACAGGCACATACTGCTGTGCCCAGCTGAATTTTGTGTTTTTAGTAGAGACGAGGTTTTACCATGTTGCCCAGGCTGGTCTTGAACTCCTGATCTCTGGTGATCCACCCAACTCAGCCTCCCAAAGTGCTGGGATTACAGTCATGAGCCACTATGCCTGGCCAAATGTGTATTGCTTTTGCACCATGGTAAAGTTTTTAAAGTGTAGGTCAAATCGTTGTAAGATGGGAGACAGTCTGTATGCACCTACTTTTTATTTCGAAATAATTGTAGAGTCACCTGCAAGAGAAATGTACAGGGAAGTCACATGTACCCTTCCCTCAGTCTCCTGCAATGTTAACATTTTATGCAACTATAATACAATATCACAACCAAAACACTGGCATCAATAAAACCCATCCTCTCTACCCTTCCCTAATCCCCAGATAACTGCTAGCCTGTTCTCTATCTCAATAATTATGTTATTATTATTATTTTTAGAGACAGGGACCTTGCTATGTTGCCCAGGCTGGTCTTGAACTCCTCGGCTCAAGTGATCCACCTGCCTCAATTCCAAAGTGCAGGGATTATGGGTGTGAGACACCAAGCCCGCCCTGTGTCTATAATTACGTTATTACATGATTGTTGCATAAATGCAATCATGCAATATATATTCTTTTGAAATTCTTTTTTTTAACCCAGCATAATTTCCTAGTGATTTATCCAAGTTGTTGTGTGTATTGTCTTTTCATTGTTGATTAGCAGTCCATGGTATGTATGTATTGCAGTTTCAGCCATTTATTCATTGAAGGAGATTTGGGTAGTGTCCAGTTTGAGACTCATAAATACAGCTGCTGTGAACATTCTTCTACAAACTTCTGTGTGAAAATGTCATTTCTCTGCCTAAGGGTGCAATTGCTGAGTTGTACAGTAAGTACATTTTGTTTTCAAAGAAAACACCAAACTATTTTCCATAGTGACTGTACCTTTCTTACCAACATGTATGTTGGTACTCATATCTAAGTATGTAATTCTTAGATATGCATTATACACTTAGATATGAGTCTAACTCAAAGTCATAGGGATTGTCTTCCAAGAATTTTTTAATTTCAATTTTTAAATTTAGATCTATGATTCATTTTGAGGTTTTTTTTTTTTTTTTTTTTGTATTAGGTGAAAGCCGCAATAGTCTTAGGGTCCCATGGAAATGCTTTAAATCTTTTCAAATAATAAGAACAAATTAAGTACAACTAATGGCAGCAGCCAGCTGTCTGCAGTGGCTGTCATCAGGTCAGCTGCTATAGGGAGAGTCCCAGGAGGAGACAGAGCGGGGCTGGAACACTGCTGTGCTCCACAGAGCCAGCAGAAGCCAGGAACAAGTGAGAGCCCCACCACAGCCTGCCACCCTGGGGGCCGCTGCAGTGGGGCTGGCCTGAGCCACCTGCCAGCAGGGAAGCAGTATGATTGGGCAGAGAGGGGTAGGCAGAGAGGGGCGCAGTGAGGACCTGGAACCCCCACCCTAGGCTGCAAGAAGGCGTGGCCAGGTCTGCCTGCATGCTGCCCCACAGAGTGGGCAGGTGGGAGTCCCATCCTCCCAGACACAGGACCTGGGCATCTCAGTAGTTTCATCCTCAGGAGCCTGGGAAGGTTCCCTTCCCCCTCAGGCTTAAGGGTGTTTGCTCTTGCTGCCTGGCCTCTCCCTGGTCCTGGTGCCTGCTCTGATCTCAGAGCAGGGTTGGGGCTGAGCTCGAGCACTGTTACGATCTGGCCAGGTGTGTGCACATTCGGAGCAGTGCTGACATACCAGCCCCCTGCTGTCTTGGCTTGTTTTGAAATTTGGGCACCAAGAAGCTCTCGGGGGAAGTGGGCCTGAAGGCAACTCAGCACTGGCCTGAGAATGCCCCATGGTACAGGCAGCCTAGGCACCACGGACAGTGGCAGGAGGCAGACAGGCTCCTGGGCAGATGGGGACAGGTTACCAGTAAAGCCCCATCTTTAGGCCAGGGAGGGCCTGAAGGCTGGAGGCCAGGCTGCCAGTCCTGCTGACTGGAGTGGGAACTTGTGGTGCCTTTTCCAGGCCCTGCCATGGCTGCCCATGGACCAGTTGGCAGCACTTCCCCCTATCTGAGGCCCATAAAAGCCCTGGGCTCAGCCAGAGCACAGCAGACGATGAGACAACCAGCTGCAGAGAGGAGCTACCCTCTCTGCTGGAGGCTGAACACTTGTCAGAATGACCCACTGCAGAGAGAAGCTACCCTCTCTGCTGCGAACTCAAGAATTGTTGGGACAACTTGCCTGGCAGAGGGGAGCTACCCTCTTGCTCATCACCTTGCAGGCAAAGAGAAGGAAAGAAGAGCTGTGGCCCTTTGAGGAGCTGAGACCTGGGAGGTCTTTAAGCCAGGGCTGTGACTCCCTCTTTGGAGCCCTGCAGTTCCTGATGTCTCCAAGCTTCCAGGCACCACCATGCTCCCTGGTGCCAGCTATGGAAGCTGCTTGTGTGTGCCTCGTCCAGCCACAGCCTTGCAGAGAGCTAGCGTGCATGCTGGTACCTAGAGTTGCCCACCCTGCTGCAGCAGCTGGCATGTCTGACTGCACAGTTGGACCCCACGCTCACTCACAGATGCCTCACCACTTCATGCAGTCTCCCTTGGCAGGGATGGGATTCTGGTTGGTAGCATGAGCTGAGTACAGCCTGTCAGGCTGAGTGGGCAGAACAAGCCCAGCAGCCTTGACTTCCTGTGCTCAAGCGATCCTCCCACCTTGGCCTCCCAAAGTACAGGGATTACAGGTGTGAGCTACCATACCTGGCCCCACCCTCTAATTTTGTGGGGACCAACACCCATCCTGAAGCCATCTAGGGGCCCCCCCTCCATGTCATCTCATTAGGTGTGATTGAAAGAGGCTTCTTATGAAAAACAAAAGATATTCCTGTTAGAAAATTCCATGTGTTTTAGGAGCTCTGTCTCAGGATGGAGGGATAAAGCCCAAATACAGCTGACCTTTGCACAACCAGGGGACTGCAGCGCCAACCCTTCATGAAGCAGAAAACCTACGTATAACTTTCCCCAAAAACTTAAGTACTAATAGCTTACTGCTGACAAGAAGCCTTACCAATAACATAAACAGTCAATTAATGCATACATTGTATAGTATATGCATTATGTATTGTAGTCTTATGATAAAGTGAGCTAGAGAAAAGAAAATGTTATTACAAACGTCATAAGGAAGACTGTTCATTAAGCAGATGTGGATCATTACAAAGATCTTCATCCTTGACTTCATATTGAGTAGGCTGAGATAAAGGAGAAAGACCAGGAGTTGGTCTTGCTGTTTCAGAGGTGGCACAGGCAGGAAAAAACCCACATATCAGTGGATCTGTGCAGTTGAAACCCATGTTGTTCAAGCATCAACTGTATATATTTCTACTGTAGCACAGAAACCAAAAAAGGAAAAGTACCTAGGGCCTTGGAAGTCATAATGTGGCCCTTTCAGTTAGGTAATTTTACCAGCAGTTCTGAGACTATGGCAGCTAGGAATGAGTCCAAAAATAAGCACTGATGGATGATGGCAGTGGAGATGCAGTGAAATGAACATGAACTGGCTTGGGCTTTGATTTAGAGTCAATTGGACCAGCTGATGAATTCATCTGAGAGGTGAATGACAGAGAGAAATCAGGATGTTTTCACAGCTTTTAAAATTTGAGGCCAGGTACAGTGGCTCAGATCTGTAATCCCTGCACTTTGGGAGGCCAAGGTGGGCAGACTGCTTGAGCTCAAGGAGTTCAAGACCAGCCTGGGGAACATGATGAAACTCTGTCTCTACAAAATATACAAAAATTAGCTGGGTGTGGTGGTGGATGCCTGCAATCCCAGCTACTCAGGAGACTGAGGCAAGAGAATCACTGGAACTCTGGAGGCGGAGGTTGCATTGAGCTGAGATTGTGCCACTGCACTCCAGCCTGGGTGAAAGAACGTGACTATCTCAAAAAAAAAGAAAGAAAAATAAATGAAATTTGAAACATCACTGGCTCTCTTTTCATGAGTTTTCTTTTTCAAGATTTAAGAAAACTTTTTTTTTCTTTTAAGCTACTGATAGCTTAGAGCAATTTGGTAAGGCATACTTTTGTAAATAAAAATTCAAATGTTTGCTTTTCCTTCCTGGCTAATTCCTCCAAGATTTGGAAACTTTTCAAGAGGATTCTTATTTTTATGACAACATGGTTGTTTGCATAAGTTCAGTAAGAAACTCTTCACTTCAACAGAATACAACTGGAATTATTGGTTATATTATGAAAGCTTTGATTCCAATGTCATATTGTATTAGTCTGTCCTCATGCTGCTATGAAGACATACCTGAGGCTGGATAATTGATAAAGAAAAAAGGTTTAGTTGACTCACAGTCCCACGTGGCAGGGAAGACCTCAGGAAACACCATCATGGTGGAAAGCACCTCTTCCTAGGGTGGCAGGAAAGAGAATGGGTACCAAGCAAAGGTGTAAGCCCCTTATAAAACCATCAGATCTCATGAGAACTCACTCACTATCATTCATTCATTATCAATTGAATTGATAATGATTCAATTATCTCCACCTGGTCCTGCCCTTGACACCTGGGGATTATTACAATTCAAGGTGACATTTGGGTGGGGACACAGAGCAAACCATATCATTCATATACATATATTCATATATATATATATATATATAGCAATGTCATATTTTAAAATATGCCTAGGATCATAGAATGCCAATTTTCAGGGGTTCTCGGCCTTATCGTGAATAAAAGTTGTCACTTCTGGGCAGGCCCAGAAACCTCAAAATATTAGATATTGCAGGCAAATCTGATGTCTGCCTTTGTTTGACTTCCTAATGTCAAGAAGTTTTTAAAAGTCCAATCTAAGATTTGTTGTCACAATTTCCAGCAAAACAAATTTAAAAGATGCTTATGTGGTTATTCTTGCTGCACTTATGTAAATAATCAGGTCAAGTTTGAAACTAAACTAATTTTAAAAACAAATTGGCATTACTATGATTATCTTTGGTAGAAATGGGAATGACTATAGAGAGAAAAATTATGTTTCCGAAGAAAACTATAATACACCTGTTATTACATTGCAGCTCTGTCATTGATTTTGAGTTTTTCTCATCTAGCTATAGACTAGATTAGATCCTGAATTCTCGTTGCCTTCAATATCTGGCTACAATTCTCCAACCATGAACAAAAACTGACAAGCTGATCAACTCGATATAAATTTCAAGGGACAAGTCCCGTGCTTGATGAGGGAGACACAGAGAGTTTAGCAGAACACCTGATGCCACAGCCAGAGACATTTAAACTGCAAACCAGGATGAGAAACTGCTGACATCATGTTGTGGACAGTTTTTCCCAAAACTGTCAGAATAAGACTCCCTTCCATAATAAGACTCTTCCCCTTCTATTTTTTCTTGTTTATGCCTACCTCTTCCACTCGACCGGATAATGCTATAGTTAAAATTTCACAATCAGTAGTTTTTGTGGGTAAGTTGATAAAGTGTAGCATGTCAAACCCAAACCTTTAGAGGACCCCAAAGAGCTTTTATTCCACCTGGCGGGTAACAGCATCTCTAATGCAACTGTTTGTTCAAATTTTACTAGTGGCCTCTTTTGTAGAGTTAGCACTCTCTGCTTTAATTTAACCCCTTCCTGAGATGCTAGACGATAGGACTGCTACCTATTAACCAAACGGGGAAATCTGTGCTGTTGCTGACACTTCCTGTTGTACATAAATAATCTGGTATTGTAGAGACTCCGTTTCAAAATGTTAGCAGACTACTTGGTTAAAGCAGGTAGATTTCTCATCTGGCTCATTCTTTGATCTATTTGATTTTAGTTGGTTTGGTTTATGGCAACCCTAGCTAAGACACATACTCTGAACTCTTGATTGCCTTCCTGATAGTCATAATAGTAGACCCCTTGGTGTGTGTGTGTTCTCTCAAAAAGTTTTAAATGTTTGTATACAGCCAGCTGTTGAATGTCAAATGGTTTCTCTTCAGCTAAAATGGCAGAAATGCATCATCACAAGTACACTGTAATCTATAAATGATGTGTTGAGACTGGAAACTCAGAACAATGTGAAATGAGGGTAGTGCTAATGCCCTCAGTCTTAGTCACACTTTCTTTTTTTTTTTTTGAAATGAAGTTTCGCTCTTGTTACCCAGGCTGGAGTGCAATGGCGTGATCTCGGCTCACGGCAACCTCCACCTCCTGGGTTCAGGCAATTCTCCTGCCTCAGCCTCCCGAGTAGCTGGGATTACAGGCATGCGCCACCATGCCCAGCTAATTTTTTGTATTTTTAGTAGAGACGGGGTTTCACCATGTTGACCAGGATGGTCTCGATCTCTTGACCTCGTGATCTACCTGTCTCGGCCTCCCAAAGTGCTGGGATTACAGGCGTGAGCCACCAGGCCCAGCCCAGTCACACTTTCATCTAGGTTAATTGTTGAATAAAAATAATAGGATCCCACTGTTTTGAACCAAATTCCTGCACCAGGCCTCCAGACCAGACTAAAAATCAAAATGGTGTCACCCATGTTCACCAAATCAAAACTGATTTATCTGTTTTTCCAAGAAATCGTGAGAGAGAGAGATTGCCAGTTTTCCAAACAGAACAGTTTCAATTTTTAACAGACATGATAACGAAATTTCCTCTGTTTTAATCTTTAAAATAGAATACCTGAAGTATCCCAGTGTTAACCGATCAGTGTTCTTTCTATTGTGCTGTCTCCATGTCTCCACCTGAAAGAAAAGTAACTTTGAATGACCAATCTGCTTTTTGTTGTTTCTGACTTCTTCAGTCTATTTTCATCTCTAAAGCTAACATCCTCTGCTTGATTCACTGCAACACATATTCTATTTTGTGGAATGAAGTGTTGTCCGATTCTAAGACTGTAATAACGCCAATGAGATCTTTAATCTCAATTTGTTTTAATTTTGTTTCTTGACAATGGAGGGGTTTAGGCTGGAAAGCATTTTCAAAGTCATGAGCAAATAGACTTCAAGTCAACCAGTTAGGTGAGATCATTGGGTGATAAAATAAAGAAGAATGCAAGGACCGAGCCCTGGAGAAGTCCAATATTTAAAAATCAAGCCGCTGGGTGCAGTGGCTCACACCATCATGTGAACACTTTGGGACGCTGAGGCGGGCAGATTACGAGGTCAACAGATCAAGACCATCCTGGCCAACATGGTGAAACCCTGTCTCTACTAAAAACACAAAAATTAGCTGGGCATGGTGGCTAATAGTAGTCCCAGCTACTTGGGAGGCGGAGGCAGGATAATTGCTTGAACCTAGGAGATGGAGGTTGCAGTGAGCCGAGATCGTGCCACTGAACTCCAGCCTGGCGACAGAGCGAGACTCTGTCTCAGAAAAAAAAAAAAAAAGAAAAAATTGAGCCAAAGAAGAGAAATCAGCATATCAAAAAGGAGGCCCAGTGAGGGAACAGGACTATCAGGACAGTGTGATGTGTAGGTAGGTTCGGGGGGAAAATGTTTCAAATCAATGGAACCATGTCAATTCTCAATTCTTTTTTTTTTTTTTTGAGACGGAGTTTCGCTCTTGTTACCCAGGCTGGAGTGCAATGGCGCGATCTCGGCTCACCGCAACCTCCGCCTCCTGGGTTCAGGCAATTCTCCTGCCTCAGCCTCCCGAGTAACTGGGAATACAGGCACGCGCCACGATGCCCTGCTAATTGTTTGTAGCTTTAGTAGAGACGGGGTTTCACCACGTTGACCAGGATGGTCTCGATATGCTGACCTCGTGATCCACCCGCCTCGGCCTCCCAAAGTGCTGGGACTACAGGCATGAGCCACCGCGCCCGGCCAATTCTCAATTCTACACAGAGGTCAATTTAGATATGAATAGAGAATTGGCAATTGCCTTTGGAAACAAGATTATTAGTAATCTTGATAACTGATATTGATGATGGAAGCTAAAGTTAGACTGAGAATAGAATGTGAAGCACTACTGGCGAGATCTTGAAAAACCTGAGAATTTATGAAGACAGCAGAAAAATAGGGCAGTTCCTAGAGGCTATTTTGGAGTCAAAGGAAGTTTATTTTAGATGGGAGAAATTTCAATATATTTATATGCTGATAGGAGCAATTCAACTGAGAGAGAAAAAACTAATGATGCTGGAGGGTAGGTAATTGCAGGAGTAAAATCCTTAGGAATATGTTTGAGAAAAAATCCAGGTCACTGGTAAAGGGACTGGCCTTCCTAGGCACAGGGACACTTCATTCATAGTAACCCAAATATTACTATGCAGATAAGGGTAGTTTTGATGGTGAGAAGATCAGGGAGTTTATTTCTGATATCCTTCATTTTTTTCACGAGGTATGAGGAAAAGTTGATTAGCAAAAAGTGGGATTTGGGGAGGAGGTATATAGAAGGCTTTTCGTAGAGACAAAAGGAAATAATCTTTCCATCAACTCTACTTTTTTGGGGGGCCTGGGGGATGGAGTTTTGCTCTTGTCGCCCAGGCTGGAGTGCAGTGGCATGATCTTGGCTCACTACAACCTCCGCCCCCCAGGTTCAAGCGATTTTCCTGCCTCAGCCTACTGAGTAGCTGGGATTACAGGCATGCACCACCATGCCCAGCTAATTTTGTATTTTTAGTAGAGACGGGGTTTTGCCTTGTTGGACAGGCTGATTTCGAACTCCTGACCTCAAGTGATCCACCCGCCTTGGCTTCCCAAAGTGCTGGGATTACAGGAGTGAGCCACCATGCCCGGCCATCAAGTCTACTTAAATGTCAATTTAGTGGAGAAAGCCTTCCCAGAATTAAGGACATCTCCCAAACCCTTTCTCTCTCTCAATAAACCTTTTTCTCCTTTGTGGTACTCACTACCATTTGTTATCTTTATTCGTTCCCTTGTCTAATTCCTCATTAGAGAACTACAGAAGGGCAGGGACTTTGATTTCCCAATGTACATTTAGCCGTTAGCACAGGTCCAGCAGATAGTCACTAAATACATACTTTTGAAAACAAAAATATTAATGAACACCTTCACAGTTTTGTCTTACGCCAGCCACCTCGTTAAATCCTTGTTTATATGCAAGTCGCTTTTTCTCTCTGAGCTTTCATTTCTGAATCTATACCATGGGAATTATCTTTTCCTTGCCTATCTCACCGCGTTATCAAGAGGAGGCTCTGAGCCAATAATCCTAGAAATGCTTCATTAAAGGGTCCCTTAAATGTAACGGATTTCTATTTTTTGCCCACTGGTAGCCTTGCACGTAGCAGGTGCTGAAAAGCCTTGCTTATTGGGGGTTGGGGGACAGTATTGTTTCTGTGACCGTAGGCGTCGAAGCTATGCAGAAGCATTCCGCGGACTGCGGAGAGATGGGGCTCAGGCCAGCATCCCTCTCGCTCCGGCCCTTCCCGGGAGGGCTGGCCGAGCGAGGATGGGGGGCTGGGAGGCCGTGGGGGCAGTAACTGTCAAACCTCGCGGCTTGGCGCCATTATTTAAATGGTACGTGCTTGTCTCGCAGCTGTACGTGCCCGGGGCGGGGCTTCGAGCGCCCGGAGCGGGGCGGAGGCAAGAGGCGGGCTGGGAAGGTGGAGGGGCGGGGAGGGGTGGGGCCAGGCAGGCTGGAGAGGCGGGCCTAACGGCGGCCCCCGGCAACGTTCACTGCGCTTGCGCTGACAGACGCAAGATGGCGGACAGTGCGGAACTAAAGGTAAAGCGCAGCTCGAATTCACTTCTAATATTCGGCCGCGGAGACGGCGCCGCTGGTGCCGAGGGGGATGGGTCCGACCCTGGGGGGCCGCTCGGGCCTGACTCCACCCGGGCTTGGAGTTGCAGGGAGAGAGGCGCGCCCAGTCTCAGCAGAGGGGGCCCGGCTGCGGCGGGCCGCGGGCCCCGGGTGCCTCGGGGGCGCTGACGGGTCGTCCCCGGCGTGTTATTGTTGTGGGCGCCTCTGGCGGGGGTGGCGGGGGAAGAGATAGGGAGTCGGGAGGTAGGGGCTGCAGCTGTCTCCCGGGCTCGGCTTTTTCACCTTCAGTTAGCCTCCCCGCCCCCCATGGGGAGCTGGGGCTGGGGGCAGGGTGCTCTTGTAGGGGGGATTGGGAAAGCTCCCCGTGGCCGCTTCCTCTTCCTCCTTTGCAGTCCCGGGCTCCTGTCAGGCGCTCTTCTCAGACCCCCGGGAACTTGGCTCCGGCCGCCCCGCCCCTCCGTGGATCCCTGTCGCCCCCGCCCCGGACTCGGCTTTCCCCGGCTGCTCGCTTGTCAGGAAGCGCCTGGGGTGCCCCGCTTGTGGGGAAGCGCGATCCTAGGGCTATAGGGTGGGGATCTCGGGGAGAAGCTCTGGTAAAGTTTGGCGAGCCCCGGGCCGACGTTGGGGTTCGGCTGAGAGGTAGCCGGGGGGAGTCAGCCTGGGCGGGACGTTACTCTCTCTCTCTGATTCCAGGCAGCCGAAGGGAGAAACCCCCCTCCAAGAGTGAGTCTTTGGAAGCAGTGGTGGGAGGGGGGATCCATCTACCTCTCTCCCTTCTCTTGCCTTGGCTGGTGTGGAGGGTGAGAGGAGCCTTTGGGGGGTCTCTGCACACACCATGATGGCGATGCTGTAGCTGATGGAGGTGAATGGTTCGTGTTTATATCCCCCCATTGCCTTTTGTTTGTAGGGACAGCTTGCTGGCCATGTTGATTTGAACGAAATTCTCCCCTCACGCTACTCCAACCCCCGATAAATAGAACGTTCCTCTTAACTGTACCAATTACCCACACCTCACGAAATTAGATGAAAGGGTGCCCCCTTTTCCCCGCTTTTCTCCCACCCCAATCTTTACCTGATGATGGCTTCTTTACCGAAGCAGATATACCACTACACAAGCAGTTGGGGGAGGAGGGGTGAAACCCTTATGATTGGATTGTGACAAATGGGGCTCCGCTTGAATAATTTTGGTTTAGTAGCAGGCAGTTCTTAACTAACGCGTATTATTTCGAGGCTCTGAACTCGATCTTCTCTATGGCTTACTGCGTGTGTGAACCCAGCAGCTGGTTATATCTCGACCCAGAGAACTGACATCTCTGTCGGAGTGGAGATTGGGATATACAATTGTAAATCTTTGGGGAGAGCCTTCTTTTTATAATTAATAAAAATTATGTAACTTTTTTCTCCGTTATAATGAAACCACAACTTCTAGAACAACCAAATGCCTGATTTGATTCTGTAGAGTTTTTCCTGTGGAATAGCCTCACCGAAAGATCTTTTCTCCTAATAACTTCACAATGTTTACATTCCAAGATTTGTATATTAAAGTATTGGCTTTGAGTGTCATTCTTTTAACATGTACTTTAATTACAAATTTACTTAAGGGAGAGCAGGTTTAGAATGGATGGTTTGGTTTTTCCCCAGTTTCAAACTATTGCCTGAAATGAGAAAGCCTTAGGAATTTGAATATTTGGAGATAATTAACCTTTGAAATAAAAAAAAAAAAAGCACAACTTTAAGACATGTTTTTCTCTTAAAATAGAGTTACCATGTTGCTGTGGTCTTTGCCTTCTAATATTTATTTTGTTAGGAGTTCTTTTGAATGATAGCTAATCAGTTGTTATACATAGACCATAGAATAAAGCTGAAAAACTTGTGCAGACTATATTGTCACTCTTGATGCTGTCCAAAGAAACTAGTATGGAAAGCACATGCTGAGAGATTTCCTTCTTTGTTCTTTCTCATTTTAAGAAAGTGCCTTTGGGGATAGATCAGATCCCTGGTGTGAGTCTTGTTAGGTAAAGTTTCTCTTTACAAAAATGAACCAGTATCAGATAAACACCAAACACTTGAAGAAATGTTATTTTTCTAAAATTAGTCTCCTTTTTTGCTCTCTCCAAAATCTACTTGAGTTTTTCCAGAGGAATTTTTTTTTCTACTTTTATGCTCCTGTTGTATACTTTTTCAAATTATAATAACTGTTTTGACATGTTGGTATGTCATTGTGTATGTCTGAGACTTTGAGGAGCTGTGTGATAAACTGCTTAGCTGGTGTTAGCTGTGTTAAAAAAAATTTGGTTAGTACTTCATTGTGGTTAGATTTGCTGTTTCTTTTTTGGGGGGTGGAGGAGGTGATCTCAGGAACGCCTACCATAGTTATTCGAGAATGTGTTAAAAAAAAGAATGTGTATATATAATTTTCTGTGCAGTAAGGTTTGGCAGATACTTCTTTTGGAAATGATATTTATGGAAGGCTTTTTGTTTGTGATTTTTGGAGGTAAATATCATACATTCCTATTATGATAGGTAAAATCAGAGTAAGAAGAAAAAAAATCTAGATTTTTTTTTTGAAATTTTAAATGGGTATAGAGTACTTCAGCTGTGAAAGCTTTTGTGTAAATACCGTGACTTTCATTATCTTAGGTCTCAGCCCCACACTTCATTTTGCTGTGGATTGTATTCATAATTATTTTCCTCATGGTTTTTTTAGTGAGTCCTTTTAAATCTATAAGGAATCTGCGAACATCAGATGGGAAAACAGATCTTTATCCCCTGTAGGAATTGTGCACGCTGCAACACTTCAAGATATTGCCAATAAAAATTAGATTGTAAGTCATACATATCAAAATGAATTCTCTATGCACATTTGTTTATGAAAGCTTTAATTTTTCATTAGGAGAATACCCATAAATGACATTTTTAAGAATGTGGAGAGTATTTTGTCATCTTTGGGAACTTAAAAGCAGGAGGTTGTGATGACCAGATGATCTTGGTAGTTAAAAAGCTGACAGCTTCATGCAGCTCCTCTTAAAGTACTTTAAAATATATACATTTTTTTGGAGTAAAACTCAAACCAAGTTATATTGCCATTTTAATTTACAGGAAGAAGAGTGGGAGGGAAGAAGTTCATCATCATTGTAGTGGAGTAAATAAATGGGAAGAGAAACCATAATTATAAAAGTTTCTATAAGTATGTTAGTAAATTCTATTGTTATTTTCTGCCTCTTTATTTTCAAGAAATAGCGACTTAATTTTGATCCTTTTGCTGTAATTTGTCTGCTTTTATTTTAGATAGAGGCAAGTATGTCTGACAGTTTATTCGTGGATTTGATTTGAATCTCTAACTTGTTTTTGTCAAGTGCCACATTTAGATGACTGTTGTTTTATCTCATTATTTTTATGAACAGTATTTAAGAAACACTACAGTATAGTTTATAAAACACTACAGTATAGTTTCTAAGTATTTCATATGATTGTTTGGAAATACCGCCTTCTTTTCATCCCCAGTTTTCTCCTGGGTGATCGCATTGTCTTTCCCTTCAAAGAGTCTCTTGTAATCCCTGTTGATTGCAGTAGTGCTTAGTGGCGAGTCCATAGCTGATTAACCTTGGGTTTCTCCTGGTGAACTCCATCAACATGCTGCTCCAGGGTTCTTGCTGAGGCTTTTGAGTTTAGTGGAATTTGTACCATTTCTTGCTGGTAACCAGGGATAAGAAAATAAAATGGCCAATGGTTGTAGTGGGAACAGGGAAAAAGTATCTAAGTCTCTGAAAAACTGGGTGTTTATGATGAGATGTAGCCTTTAAAAATAATGACCAAAAACTGATTCATTACTGCATGGAATTGATTGTGATGTCTTCTGAAGTATTTGGCATTAAGCATCTTGCTTTTTTATTAATGTTTGAATAATGTCTTATTATATAGTACTTTGTAGTTCATAATATATTGCATTATTTCTTTTGATCTTTCCAACAGTTCTTTGAGGTAGGAAAGGCAAGTTATAAATAAATCCCTTTTATAGCTGGAGAAAGTGAGCCCAGAAAGGGTAAGTGACTATTGCAAGGTCCTACAATTAAACATGGCAGGGACTTGAGCCTAGGTCTTGTGTAGGCCTCCTTAAAGGTACCACAGCAGACCTGGAGTTCTCTCGGGTGCCCAGTTCACAAAGATTTCTAGTTAAGTTGTTGCTGATACTTCCTCTTTTGTGAAAGTGCTATGCTACGGTATTTTTGGATATTCCTAGGGCATTTTGCAAGCTTCCTTGCAAAGAGGAGTTTGTTAGTTGGAATCATACACTTTAATTTTTGTAAGTATCATTTTGCTTGGGAAAATTTCAGAGGATACTGAAAAGTAAGCAGAAAAATAAACAGTACCTGTAATCCCAACGCTCAGAAATATTATGGTTAACATCTGGGTATTTATTCATTTAGACTTTCTCTCTGTGAGCATATGTATATGTATATTTATCACAAAGATATATCACACTTTTTTATTTATAATCTGCTATTTTTATATTTGTTTATCCAGATTAGTAAATACGGTTCTGTATGATCATTTGCAAGCTTACATTGTGTTTTATTCAACTAGTCCCTGTCTTTAGACAATTAGATTATTCTACCTTTTTTGCAGTGTCTTTGCAGCCTTGTACCAGAGTTTGCAAATGTTTTATTTTAACTAAATATATTGGTATGACAGATCTTTTTGTGCTTTAGAAAGCAATACAAATGTTTATTTTATTTTTGTAGAGACAAGGATCTCACTGTGTTGCCCTGGCTGATCTCAAACTCCTGGCTTCAAGCAGTGCTGCTGTGGCCTCCCAAAGTGTTGGGATTACAGGTGTGAGGCACTGTGCCACTGTGCCCAGCCTG